TTTACCCAGGACTCCCTCGACAGATTATTGTTCTCATTCACTATATATAAAATATACCAGCTGACAAAGTGCATTCGCTCAAGTGTATTTACATCTCTCTCTCTCTTTTATGGACCCATTGTTCCTGGGAGCCTTGATAAAAGTCTGATGTGCCTTGAAAATGGTTTCCTCTCCTCCCAGGCTGTCTGCTCGGGAGGTCTTACCCTAGTTTAGAGAATGCTAATTCAGTCTGACCACTAAGCGGGAGTCTGGGCTGCGTGGTTGAACCGTCTCTGTGTTCCCCAGGCCTGGCATCGCCGCCGGCAGATCAGCTGCGCTGATAGGAGAGGGAAACCAGGGCAACCTCCAACCTAACCCACCAATCACATCGCTCGCTCGCGCTCCCATCGCTGCAGCCGTTGACAAATGACCCCACCCCCACCCTAACCACCACATACAGGCGCAGGTGTATGTGAAACCTGCGTCAGGACACCTGTTTGTGTGAAACTGGATGAGTGTGCACCAGCTTGTGTTTCATTTTGCATCTGTGTTCATGCGAGGAAGAAAAGTGGTTTATGCTAGAAATATCTTTTGTGTCCATGCATATACAGTAAGTGAACGTTATGTGTGTTGTGTTTCTGTTTGTTTTAGTTAGCAGAAACTGTACGCAATCACAGAGACCCCCTCACACACGAGCAAAGAATGGTTTGGTTTTTTAATTTAATTTGCCCAACTAAAAATGGGCCTCCTCTATGCTGCAAAAAGAGAAATTCACCATCAGAGAGAGCACATTAAACTGCTCTTTAAGCCCACAGTGTGTGCTCTTACACAGTCATCCCAGAAAAAACACCAAGGTTACATAATGCAGAGTAATCTCTCAAGAGTACAGGTTCACAAACAGCCAACTACAGCTCCTATCACAGAAGCAGGACTCGTATCTGAACTCTGTTAGGGCTGCACAAAGTAGCAATAAAAAGTACATTGATTTGGTTCAGCTTGTTGATGTTGTAACGCAGCCACAGCGAGTTTGGGTAGAAAGAGGTGCCTGGGTCCTCGTTTGTATTTTATTCTTTGTCAGCTGCTATACCGCTGCAGGCTAATGATAGGTTAAGAAAGATGAGAGTCCTTGAGGAAATGTGGATAAAAATGCATAAGAAAAAACACCAAAAAACCCAGCACGGAGCTCAGAGACAAGGGACCAGTCATCTCTCCGGTGTTGACAGTAGACATGTGGTCACCAGCCGTCCCCTGAGTAACACCTGAGATCATAGCTTGGCAGACATGTGGTCACCAGCCGTCCCCTGAGTAACACCTGAGATCATATCTTGGCTCACACAATCGAGAAATGCTCTGAAGTGAGATCTTTTTTCATTTAGACAAGAATCACGGGAGATGTATTAAATCGGGGACGAGGAAGACGGGGTGTCAATCCATTATTTCTTCATAAATCTGAAAAACATTTCTGATGCCCCCACCCACCCACCCATGCCGTTGAGCTCCGGGGTTGGAGCAATAACAGTGGCCTCAGTGTCAGTCTGGATTCCACTGTGATTTGGAGAAAATTCCTCTTTACTCCTAACAGTCATGTTATGGTAGCCAAGTGCAATTTGTGCCAATTTGCGAGTATGTAAGGGTTCAGGGGAAGACAAAACCCTGTGTGTCCTGCTTCTCAAGAGAGAGAGAAAAACTAAACACATAGGTGGATGCTTTTTGACGTTTTCCTAATTTCCAAGTGTAAACAATTCAATTGAATCTTGAGGAGAACATGTCTTCCACTGAGGAAGGGGTAAGTGTTTGTGGATGGTCTTAAATCACTCAACCCCTACCAAGGGAGAAGATTCTAGTCATAAGAAGATATAGAGGGAGAAACTATAAATCAGGAAACCAAGGAAACAACGGGAACTGAAGCACAGGGTTAATGAAAGGTTAATATTTTACTCTCTGTGCATACTTGTGAAGATTAGCGGATACGAGCAGCTCCTCTCTCCCTTGTGATCTGTGTATGTATGTATGAGTGTGTGCGTGTGTGTGTGTGTGTGTGTGTGTGTGTGTGTGTGTGTGTGTGTGTGTAAAGTGAGGTGGGGAGCGGTAAGGGGTTCTTGGCACAGCTCAGGAGTCTTGTGATGGAAGATCAGGAGTTTGTTCTCAGGGAGCTCAGAAACAGGTACCCTCCCTGGCCAAAACATTTGAATGGATATATGTTTTTACACACCCGCATTTTGAGGACGAAAGATATGATTATTTAAAATGCTTTTTTTTTTTTTAGGTTCTGTTGTCATCTGGTTTTATATTTTTAAAGAATTCAGTCTCTAAGAAAGGAGGCTGATTTCAGCAGAGGTTGTTCCCCATTGCTCACTGACTCAATAAAGCAGAAGCAGAAGGGGAATCACTGTGTTTATGACAGCAGCGTTAGTTAAATATTAATATGCAAGTGCCTGGCTGTAAGAACGTGGGATTAATGGATGCATCATCCTGTTTGTTGTACCCTTTTTCACACCTCTATGTGAGGGTTGCTACTATGCGACAGAGCCACTTGGCACAAAACAGCTCTTAAGCCCCACTCACAGAATGCATAATCATAGTTTTTTTATTTTTTTTAATCTGCCCTTTTACCTCACATAAGCAATCAGTTATGTGCTTGTTTAAAAACCTGTGTGTCAAAGGCAAACAGGTGCACATTTGCTTGTAGCATAAAAATATGCTATAAATCCTGAACAAATAAAAACCTTGACACACGCTGGCTATCCAAAGCTCAGTCTGTCAATTTATATACTGATGACAAACGTATGATTGCCTTCAAATGACTCTTATACGACCAAAGGAAGAGCAGTCAATGTAACAAAATGGCTCCCTTTGCTCAGTCATTGCCTGCAATTTGGCTGAGGTTTCCTTGGCAACACAAACTTGGTTTCTCACCGAGGACAAGGAGAGATGGTGCTGCTGTGACGCAGCCGCAACAACCCTCACATCCAGCAGCTATAGCCTTGATTGTGTTTACTTGTCAATTCTCCTATCAGTGTCAGCAGGTGTGATTGTAGCCGCGGTCCGTTCATCCCACATGGACGTATGAGCTCAGATGACAACCTCAAATCAGAAATGTTTTTTCGTCTTTACACTGAAATTGAGGGCAGGGAAGGGGTTGTATTCAAATTATTTGTCTTGTTTTTGTTTTGTTTTATCAAGGGACAATTTTCTGTAACAAAGCCCTGAGTGCTTTTTTGAAAAAAGTTAAAATAAATGGCCCTGAAATGAACCCTTTTTCCTTCTCATGCTGAGCGTTTCCTGATCAGAGATTAATAAAGAGGATAATGTGATTTGGTTTATCATTACATCTCAGTTCATATTCTTTTTTTTTTTGGCCAGTGTCAGTGGTGTTTTATGTGACAGTGCAGCCTCAGAGACTAACTGCCAGGATGTCGTTGCGGAAATTGGACTATTCGACTTGTTCAGTGGCTCAGAATAATTTTTATGCTGAGCTGAAGGGACCAGAGGTGCATCAGTGTCATCTAATGTTCTACTCATACACAATGTCCAGCATACAGACATAATCATTCTGATATTAAGATAAAAAAAAGTAAAATGTTCCAGTTACACTGAGTACACAAAACAGACTATAAAAGAAGCATGCAGCCGTCCTAGGAAAACATATTCATCCGTTTTTGTTGATTTTGAATTTGTCAGATAAACCGAAGGATTAGGTGTACCTTTATGGGTTGAGACAATAATTCCTTGTCACGAAGCTGATTTCAGGGTGGATTTTTTTAGATTGTGAAAAGTCTTTTCAGGAATACACAGGACAGCAATGGTGCAGTGGTTTACAGTCTGATGAAGTGTGTGTCTCAGATTAACCGATAAGGATAAAGGAAGAAGCTTTTTTTTTTTTAATAGATGTCACGTTATGGGATCAGAAATGTGATTAACGAAATGTCTTCCTCTTTGGTGACTGTTGCACAAGTCTAATCAAACATGCATGGGCGTTTTTTCCTGCCTTTCTTTATCTCACTGGGTGTGCATATTAATCTATGTTGACTTCAGTTGCCTATGCAAGAAAGTAAATTATGATTTCATCATTCAGTTAATCCAAACCTGTCCAGTATCTCAGCTATGCCATGATAAAATGGACGTAAATGCTCATGTTTTGTGTTGCTTCATTCTCTGGTATCAGATAAGACGTGCTCTTTACTTGGTCGGACATAAGTGACCTTTATGGATTCCTTTCAGTTCAAGTCCTTAAGTCGGCTTCCATTTCAAACAAGCTACTGCTTATCAGTAACCTATTACTTCTTGCTTTGGCTGCCTCGGCAAACATTGGCCGAGGCATTTGCCACAACTATGTACACACTTTCAAATAAAGCGACCACACAAACACAGATATCCAAAAAACATCCACTGAAGCACACAGTCTCGCAGCACTTTGTTTTTAAAAATGATCTTGGACAATGTGCACATTTTGTTGTCAGGTGGCACGGTTACAAGGAGCTGTGTTTATGTAATCTGCGATAGAATGTCAGCCAGCTCTCTTTTCCTAACAAAACAGATACCGCAGCTCCATTTTTCTGTCCTGTGGAATTTTAAACAGGTTGTCTTGAATAAGGGAACCAAAACATGAGATGTGTCATTTGAGCCACAATGGCTACTTTCTCCAGAGTTAGATGTGTGTGTGTGTGTTTTTGTGCATCTGTGTGTGGGTGACTATTCTCCCCAGGGCCAGTTCGGGTAATGTGATTGTCTTTAATACATTCTTTTCATACCCTTGAGCAAAACACGTCCACGCTGCTATTGACTGGCTTGTTTGGGACAATAAATAATGCAAATCACATTTACCTGTCGTAGACAATACGTGCAGAATGTGAATTCTCGGCTGCCTTTCTGTTCCGCTGAGTTACATTCAGGTTTTAGTGGTGCCTTCAACAACCAGGTTAAGTTTGCTCGCCAGTAGAATAAATCACAAGTCATGTCCTGAAATATATATTCTTTCACAAAATCATAGCCGTTTGTCAACCCTGCCCCTCTTCCTTCAGGTGGTGTGGGTATTGCAGCCACTCAGCTGTGCAACACGGTGAAGGACGTGACTGTGTTCGGCACGGCGTCCGCCAGCAAGCACGAGACCATCAGCCAGGGTGGAGTCACGCATCCCATCGACTATCGCACCAAGGACTATGTGGAGGAAGTACGCAAGATCAGCCCGAAAGGTGAGACACTTGGCCACCTGCACTGAGACAAGTGCTCTAAATGTGGAGTTTGTGTGGAAAATAAATGAACCAGTGCAAACTATCTATGATCAAGGTTTACATCAGTATGCATGTTTATCACTACTTCATAAGCAAATATTCCATATCAATGTATTCCCTCTGGCACAAAGCAATACTATGTGACTGCTACATTTGTCGATCGGTGTTGAACAAACTGCCGACAGTGAGATGTTATATTTTCATACACTTTTTTTTTATCTCATGACACAATTCTCAGCAGGGCTGGCTGCCATGTACACTAGATTGACAGCACGTAGGGAGTCATTTTGTCTACCAAGCAAACTCATTTCGCTAAACTGTGACTGTTTGGATTCGCCATCAATAATGTATTCGCATTTTCATGCAGATGTGGCCCTGGACTCGCTGAGAAAAACGCTGCTTTTCAGCAGAATGGAACAATGTCCAGTTCCTGTGTTCCTAGCAGGATGGAGAGCGTTATTATGCTGATTTCATAGTCCCCTCTCCAAACCGTCTCTGCTCTCTGTAGCATGGGGCGAGACTGACAGACATTACAGAGACAGATAGGAAGACAGCGAGAACTGACACTTTAGACAGAATGTATCTAATTAAGCCTGGATCAATGTGCAGCCCTGCTCGCTACCTTTGGCTCTCGGTCAATTCATTCTGTGCTGTGGTCAAGGCAGAGTCCTGCTGTGAGCCTCACACAATCAATAGAAGCAGGGTTTAACGGAGCAAGGAGGGGTAGCCCAATTTGAGGAGTCCCCTCTGGCACAAAGGAACATCATTAAGGCCGAGCCTACATGGCAAGACATAAATAAGCCACAGAGAAACCTTCATAGTTAGGTTGCCATTCTTTACCATCTGTTCAGAGGTTGATTTGTTATTCTCTCCACCGTGGAATGGACTGGACATTGACGGAGAGACATTGTATCCCTCTTGTCTTATCAGTGACAAGAATGAGAAAATATAAAAACAATCTCACCATGCTCTCCTCCTCTCTCTCTTCTCTTGGCATGCGTATGGGTTTCTCTCCGTGTAAACATGGCACAACTTGGCTACACCTACTACTCCTAGTGAACTCTGGCATGCAGAGCATGCTCTCGCTGAATTCACACCAGTGATAACTGTCCCCTTCTTCTGTCTTCTGCTCCAGGGATGGACATAATACTGGACCCTCTCGGAGGATCAGACACCCATAAGGCCTACAACCTGCTGAAGCCAATGGGCAAACTCATCACCTATGGTAAGTAGTGGAACACCTGGGTGCAGATCATTTATTATCAGTGTAGAGCTAGTTTGGAGCGGCTCTATTTAAATCCTCGGTGATACAACACAGCCCCTTTCAGGAGTTAATGCAATTAGATTTGATGAAAATGATCCCAGAATGTTTGCCAATTTCTCCAGTTTTTCACACAAATTGATCTGATTCAGAAACACTTTTATGAGCTTAAGTCAAATAAAAATGACGCCTCAACCTCCACGAGCAAAAAGTCTTGTAACTGCGGTAGAAAAGACTGAGAGGGGAAAACTCCTCTAAAATATCTAAGACCTGAATGACTGTATGATAGAGAGAGACACAGAGAGGGAGAGAGAGACAGACAGAAAAATAGACAGAGAGGAGAGAGAGACAGAGTGAGACAGGCAGACAGACAGTTAGATGGACTGAGTGAGTGGGAGAGTGAGACAGGCAGATAGACAGTTATAGGCTTTTATTTTTAAATGGGGGGGGGTGGGAGTCCTCTTAAAGTCTCCAAGACCTGAATGACTGTATGAGAGAGAGACACACACAGAGAGAGAGACACACAGAGAGATAGAGAGATAGAGGGAGAGGAGTGTATGTGTGTCTGTGTGTGTGTCTCAGTGCCTCTGTGTGTTTATCAACATCACTAATGAGCTCACCTGTGTGCTTGGGTGCATGTTGGTGATTGGAGCACCTGTGTGTTAGAGGCTAATTAAGATAGAGAGTAACCAGTTATTTCCAACAAAACTACCTGTCAAACATATGCCCTCTTTACCAAACCCATGAGGCTAATCAATAAAATATGGATACCGTGAGAGAGATAAGACTCTGGCAAATGCGGAGATGTGTTTTTTATGTTTGTGGTGTTAATAATGTGAGCTCAAGCGCAATATGCAAAACTGGTACCGTCTGCTTTCTTTGAGAAATGAGTGGTCAGGTTTAACATGGTCTAATGGAGCAGTTGGTTGGAGTTCATGTCGCTCTATGGCTCTTTGAGCCAAATGTGTAAGTCCGTTGGATTCCACAGACATCTGTGTGCGACAGCACAACATTTCCAAGCTTTTTGGCCAAAAATGGTGTATAAAGAGTAAACATTGTGGGAGCTGGAGCAATTTGTTTGGAAAAATCACAGAAGATTTTCCTGCTCCGCTCCACTCTAACAGTTATGCTCTCACTCTAGCTCTTAACGAGCCGTGCAATACACACCCATTATAAAATCTGAAACAGACCCAAAATTTTCATGAAACTTAATCATGAAAACTGTGCTAGCTATCAAAATGTCCCTTTGGCTCAATAAAGTGCAGCGTTTTGTCTACGTTTTAAACTTTGAATCATGTTTCTACGTTAATGTACGGCTAGTCAATATGGGCCCAAAGTTAAGTGTTTTTTTTGCTCTCTTCACGCCGCAACCCCATTCAAGTGAATGGGGACATTTTGCTCAATGTTTGGGGATTTTCGGGAATTTTCGGTAAAGCCGCTTGGCGAATCTCTCCAAAAAATAGATAGCACACTATTCCCGATCAGGCCGCACGTTTTGATATATTTTTCACGCCGCTGTTGGCAACGCTGTGTGAGGAGAAGCACGCCAAACTTTTGGATAAACCTGATTATTATTATTAGTAGTAGTAGTAGTATGATTAAGCCCGATGGATAATATACAGTGTGCTTTGGCACAGGCAGTTTTACTGCCTTGTGCCACAAAGCCACACTGAATGAATATATAAAATAGTCATGGGTTTCCACTGAATAGAGCTGCTTCCTGGTGGGCAGAGTGACCTCTCTATGGAGCTCCATGTTCTCAGTGTGCTGTGTGCCATCTGTGGGAAGGCCTTTACACTTGCTCTGTCGCGATGCCAATCTGGAACCAGCATGCATGCAACAGTGGGCAGGGTCGGCATCCATGAAGAACAGGCCCTTGCCTTTGCATGCCGCACAAAAACCCGCTACCCAGCAATGGTGCCCCCCCCCCTCCCCCTCCCCCCCCCCCCCCCCCCCCCCAGTCCACCCCATCCTCCCGATCCCTCTGTGCTGGTTGCTTCTCGTCCAGCTTATCAGAAGTATGCATGGTGGAACAATGGGCGTTCTATCCACATGAAACCTGGAATGTGCCTGAATGTAGCAGGCTGGGTCCCTGTCTTCCCTGAGAGCGGGCTTTGTGTCCCCTGTTTCCCCTGAGAGAGACACAGAAACAGTGAGAGCATAGCAGACTGAGGGGATAGGAAGGGGATGTGGTGACAGTGAGAGCCGTGGTGCTAAAGAGGTTTTCAGGCTGGAAGGTGCAGGAGAGTGTGAAAGAGGCAGAGCAAAGACATAAACCAGGAGTAGAGGTACCTGACAGGATTTAATGTTGATTTAACATACTGCCAAATTGTTTGACCTATAACTAGTCATAAAATTTGAAGACAAAGACAAGACATCGCAAAGCCCAACATAATGTCTTCAGATTGATTGGTTTTCTCAACCAACAGTAAAAAAATCTTTAATTTACGAATTACTTAAAAAAAAGAAAGAAGTAAATTCAATTCAATTCAGTCAGTTATTTTCTGCCAAGTCAGTTACCAAATGATGCCAAAAGAGAGAAGTTGATGATCAGATGAGAGAAAAATGGAAAACGGAGAAAGTGGGAGAGCGGGCAGATAACTTGATAGAAAATGAACCAGACCTCTAATCGAGTCATCATCAGTAAATCAACTAAGGATTTAGAAATGTGCCCTCAGAATATACTCTTTTTTTTCTCCTTTCACCCTCCCCTCTCCATCAGGTACATCTAACATGCTAGCCGGCCAGAAGAAGAACCTGCTCGCTGTGGCCAAGAACTGGTACCATCAGTTCTCCATCCACACGCTCAGCCTGATCCAGGGGAACAAGTCAGTGTGCGGTTTCCACCTGGGCTACCTGGACGGGGAGATGGAGCTCATCACCCAGGCCATGAACATCATCCTGGATCTCTACAAGCAGGGCAAGGTCAAGCCCCGCATCGACTCCACTTGGCACCTTGAGCAGGTTTGTGCCTTCCTGTGGTTTCCTTTACCTTAAATTTATCTCTGTCATAATAACAAACATATTTATACCATGGCGGTTTCTCATTACTACTCCAGACAATGTCAAGCGAATCAGGTCTAGACATGGTCCAGATCTTCCTACAAGAGACGTAGCCGGTTCGTAATTTGCTCATAAACAACAGAATCGCTTGCCTTTTTAATGTTCAACATTTTTGCCGACAATTCTCCGGACAATGAGCAGCTTTATTTACACATGGGCTCAATCGGACATTACACTGAATTTTAACTGGGACATTTGCGTTTTCATATACAGCTCCTCCAGGTAATGTCTAGATAATTTCAGGGTGCATGTGTGAAAGAGGCTAATGTCAATATATTATCCTCATCATCCAGCCTATTTACAACTGATGCAGCTAGTTTTCTGGCCCCCTGTATGTGACTATTTTAATGTATTCTTAGGTTGAATCCATACTCAAAGATGTATTTCCATTTGTATGTGGGTTTCAGATCCATTCATGCCTGGTTGTTACTGTGACAACATGCAAACCTGTGCACCTCAGTCTCGATGTCCAGATGATTCATTGTGCATTTACACCTGAACTACATCCATTTTGTGGTTTGGTGGGTTTGTGCGCGCGAGAGTTTTGCAGTGGAATCTGCAGGAGCTGGGTGTGGCTCTCCGATTTAATATGGCTCAACAATCAACAGGCGAAGTTCGTCCACAAGAAGCACTGTGTCTCCTCGGGGATAACTCACTCAGCCAGAGAGACAGTGTCAGATTGTTGCTGGCAAAATTATCCCTGCTAACAGATCTGAATAGACAGTGTGAGAAACACCAAGAGAAAGAGGGAGTCAGAGGCTGACATCTTCTGTTGTCCGAGTCAGAGCTGGTCAGTATTCTAGCCAGAGAGAGAAACACCTGCTGTCTTTCTCCGCCATCTGACGCTCTTTCTCTGCCCCTCATTCTGTCTGCTCTTTATATCAGACTTTCTCTCAGTCTTTAGGTTATTGACTCCCTCTCTGTCTCACTTCATCTCGCTGTATTCTCTCCTTCTCCCTCCTCACAGTGTATCTTTCTTGGTTTTTCTCTCTTGTTGCTATGGTGACTTGCTTTAGTCAGCGTGTGCGTTTGTCTTAGGGAGGGGCGCTGATGTACGAGAAAGAAACATGGAAGGAGTGTGGAACAACAGAGGAGAGAAGAAGGTGTATTTCAGTCTGGCTTGAAGTGATCAGGTGTGGAAAGTTTATGCGTCAAAGCCGAAAAGCTGGGAGGTGACAGTTAATCAGATACATTATCGATTATTACAAGCCGAGCACAAAATGCCACGCCCTGACCGCATCCATCACAGCCCCTCCTCCATGCTCCATCACCCGTCTTTTTGTGCTCCACTGAACAATAAACATGCTTTTGACAATACTTGGAAATAAGCATTGTCCTTCCCCCCCCCCCCCGTGTGGTTTCTCGTGGTTCATTATCTACATCTGCACTGATACTCAGGAGGATAATGGTGCAGCCGCAAATAGCACACTCGGTCCGAGATGCCTGGGAGCCAGAGAGGTCGACAGATGTTAGAGAGTGAAGGATGGAAGTGGGTGGAGTCGTCTAAAGCGCCTCGGTTGCTCTCACTGTGACTTTCATTCACATTGAAGATGATGCTTACGATTCCCGGACTTACCCCTCCCTCCCTTTCAGTTTCAGTGAGGCGCGTCTCTCTTCCGAAGGACACCAGTTGCTGCCTTCGCCCCCCACCCCTCTCTCTCCCCTCTCTCTCCCCCTCTCTCCCATGTGTCTGAGTCGTCAGGGCCACGTTTCAGCCAGGCTTTACGTTGCTAGGAGATGGCCCTGTTGCCGTGGCATTGGTTGTTAGGTGGTCTGCCTGCCTCGCACGAAGAGGGGGACTGGAGGAGGGAGGCAGGGAGGGAGGGAGGGGGAAGCGATGGAGACAGGATCAGACAGCGGACAGAGCTCGGTGGTCAGGGGGAGGGTGGGGTCGGTCTGACTGGGATTCTCCTCTCGTCGTGATGATGGAAAGTCAGTTGGACCAAATTGGTCGATCCATCATTGAATGGGGGTTCGGCTGAGTAGCTGTCAACACTGATGATTGGTTGACGCCATTAAATTCAGCTTTTATACACGACCAAAACACGTGACTAAAGAAAGTTTACTAGTTTAAAAAATAAATCATGAACATCGAATTAACTACTACTATAAAATGAACCTCAGTTTTAACCCACGAAGTGCCATTGTCATGTCATTTAGATGTGAGGGGGGCATAATTAACTTTCCTTGTTCTCTGCGAAAATGCATTGTTAAATGTAGCTGAACAATGCATAGTGGTTGCACACGTTAAAAAAACGTTAAGGCAATGTCCTAAATGAAGGTCTGCACACAGCTCTCTTAAGTGTGATTTATTGAAACATCAACAAATGACATTTCAAGCTAAGGCTCTTCTTTAGACTTCACGTAAGGGTGCTACAGTGTGTGGAGCCTCATTTATGTTTTCTCAAATATAGCTGAAATTAATTTGGTGCTTTTGTGGTCTGATTTACTCAAAGGAAGATTAACAAACAAGGAATTTTGCACTAAAAGTCTGTAACTTGTTATCTTTAACGCAGACTGAATCCTCATCTTATCTTCAGCTAAACGTTATGAAGCATTTTTGCGCTGAACAATTACTTTGGATTTAGTGCTTAAACACCTACCTTGGAATCGCATTAGGAACGGATCTCTTTACGGCCAGTATGAACAGGAGGAGCATATACAAACATAAAAATCCTTTATTAATCCTTCACTAATGAGACATAGCACTATACCTGATAGCAGTGGCTATTGATCGATTGATCTGCTGTGGCTCACAACTTCATTTTGCAAAGATGAAGACATAAGAATTCACATTAGAGCCATCAATAACCTTCAGCTCCCATTATAATTGACATGACCAAGATTGAACCAAGGTTTCAGATCCAACATTACACTCGATGAGCACATTTTAATGTAGAGATGGTATCATTTTCTAATTCAAGTAAAAGTTTTGTTTGGTAACACTAGGATATTAGATAAAAAGATTACTTTCTGCTACATGTCTGTATTTCTTGCCTACTTATAATTATAAACATTTCATTCTGTTTATACTGAATTGTAATATTGAAATTATCTGTTTGCAGTACATGTTATTCCCCGCATTTATTTGGTTATCCTTCTGTGATCCTTTTTTGTCTTGTTCCTGCTGCGACAATTTCATTTCCCTTCAAAGATTATTAAAGTCTCATCTAACCAAATGTAGCTTCTCATATACGGCATATTAAAGCGATATTTGAGCCTGTGAAATGTATTCCTAGTCTCTGGTATTAAAACAGAAGATTAGTGGCACAGAATGCAAGGAGGCTCATATCGCTGTGGAGAGGTGTTGGTGGAGGAGAAACTGGCTACTACTGCTTATGCTCAATAGATGTTTCCCAATGACAGGTGTATTTAAACTCTGCCCTCTGTTCACTCTTGTAATCGTCTTTCTCCTTCTATCCCTCCTCCAGGTGGGCGATGCCATGAGAAAGATGCAAGAGAGGAACAACATCGGCAAAGTGATCCTCACCACAGAGCCGATGCCCGAGGAGGAGAAGAAGGAGGAGCCCAAGAAGGAGGACAAGAAAGAGGACAAGAAGAAGGATGACAAGAAGAAGGATGACAAGAAGAAGGACGATGGCAAGAAGGAGGAGAAGAAGGATGACAAGAAGAAAGAGGAGCCCAAGAAGGAGGAGAAGAAGGAGGAGGAGAAGAAGGAAGAGCCAATCAAGGAGGAGAAGTGAGAGGGAGGGACGGATAGTCAAGCAGACCGGCAGGGAGTTTGTGTCCTGGGAGCAGGGGGTGGGGTGGGGTGGGGTGGGGTGGAGTGGGGTGGGGGGAGGATAGAGATGGATGGGGTGGGAGGTTGGGGGTTGGAGTGTAAGCAAGGATTGGAAGGAGTTAGAAGGGTAGATTACAAAATGATCACACCACTGTCGATCGATCATCTCTTCCACCTCCCCTCCGCCTCACCCTCGAGAATCCACAATAGCAGTAATTACTCAGGCCTGGCTCCACCCATCCCCCTCCCATCCCTTTCTTTTGCCTTTATCTCTATAAAAAATAAAAAGGTCCAATCATTAGTAACCCTTGGTAAAAGCCAAACGTATCTGTGCCTCACAAGATTGAGAAAAAAACGCAGCAAACACTCAAATAATTTTTACTATTGGGAATGTCGGCACAAGCCGTGGAGGATTGTGGGTATGGTCCAGGCTTGGGGCAAATTACTGTTTCCTTGACAACCCTGCTCGCACTCTGGCCCCCCCCCCCCCCCCCCCCCCCCTCATGCCCCTCCACACCTCAACTCCCACTGTGCTAAATTGTTCTGCTCTGACTTCCACCTGCCACCTCCTCTTCCCCCCCTCACTGTGCTGAGTCCCCCCCGTCCCTCCCCCCTCTCTACACCTCCAACACCACCACCACCGCCCCCCTCCCCCCCCTCACACCCAACCCATTCACGGGTCGGACCCACAGACAGGCACTAAGACGGGCAGATAAACGGAGAACCACACCCACCCACACGTTGCTCTCAGTGTCCAATGCTTAGTTATGTCACAGAGGATGAGTCAGAGATGCCTGCGATTGGCTGATGCACCCCAGCTTTGCTCAGACAATGGTGGTAATGCTAGAAGCCCTAACATCTGTTATCATATGGCCTTCGCGGCGATATATATTGTATCAGTCTCTATCAGTAGAGAGGAGACGGCTCCAAAACTCATGCGTTCCCACCAAATTTCAGTGAAGTTATTATAGTGGCTGCAGTTTTGCACATGCCTGAATATGAATTGCCCTCATAATGAGCCTTTCTGTGCAGTGCTGAATAGGGAGGCAGAAATCATTGCTCAGCTTCCCTCTCCTTAGATACAGATTTTTCTAGCTGACCAACTGTTGGCAAGAAGTGCGCAGTGCCAATTAAGAGAGAATTTGTTTCTGCTCAAACAAGCCACAAATACACACTCGTACACACTCTGAATGTGATGAAAGAGACACTGTCATGCTGAGACAGTGAAGCGTCTGAAATGAGCCAGTTAAAAAGGCCAATATCGGCCCTTTCTCCCTCAGCATCAGGCTTTCTTCCTCCCTGATCCTCCTCGAGGCATTCCATGGCATTCTGCTCCTTTCACAGCGATCGTTCGCCTGTCGATCACCCTGACCTGAGAGAGGAGAATTCAATTCAAGCTGGCCTCCATATTTCGCCTCCCTTGCTTGTCTCTACTCAACTCTCTCTCTCTCTCTCTCTCTCTCTCTCTCTCTCTCTCCCTCCTCTTTCCATTTCCCTCTCTGTGGTCGGCATAGCAACAGGCGTCAGGCTCGTCAGAGAAGGCTCTGTGGTCTGTTTCTCCGACTCCCTCTCCCTCTGTTTCTCTATTCAGCCTGTCCACACGAGCAGTATTACAACAGGTGTGAATTACATTAATGATTTTAAATGATAAACTGAAGAGACGGAACTGTTTTTTTAAGGTTGTTAGTTTTGCACTCACGAGCAGTTTGTTCACACCGGTGAAATTGAAATCAAGTACTGACAATGTGTGCTGGCAGAAACAGCGCACCGCTCCCCCTAATGGCCAGTGTGAATCTTGTCTCACTGGTGTAATGTAATTGAAGTAAATCCTAAGCATTCATAATAAATCCCACTGGGTGGACACTAAACCTTAATGTAGGAGGATATCTTTAAACCTCATATCTCTACCTGCCTGCCTGCCCGTCTGTCTGTGAGCCCGGCCTCAGTGCTGAGACTCAGATGGGGACTAGTGACTTTGTAAAAAAAACACAAAACAAAACGTTTGAAAAAAAAAAAAAAAAAAGAAAGACAAAAGTTGTTGTGTTAGCATGAGTGGCCTCCCTCATGTGCCGTGTGTGGTGTGCCATTGTGTGTGAAGATGTGTGTGTCCTCAGGTCTTTTGTCAGGTTTTAAAAGCACCCTCTCCCTACCCCTGCCACATTTCCCCCTCACACTACTCTGCTACAGTATTATGTAGCTCCAACTGCAACCCTCCCTTCTTACTCTATCTCTCTCCCCTCCTGTCTGATAAGAGGCCTGTGTTATGAGGACAGTTGGTATTAGTATTTTGCACTCTGCTCGCTGATCTTAATGCACTTACAGGCATGGCAGTCGCACTCCAGTCCCACGCAGGCTTTGATTCGGCTCCAGTTTTGCTGCCTGTTTGCCATCATCCACTCCCAGTGTATCTGCTGAAGCTCACCGAAAGCACAGGTGGCACACACACACGCACACACACACACACACACACACACACACGCATGAAAAAGGTCCCCCTATTTTCAGCTTGACAGTTCCTGCCCAGGCCACTTCTCCTGGGTGGCAGCTGAAATCAAAGCACTCATCCATCCTTGACCGTGGGGAGTAAAATGTTTAGCAGGGCGGAGTGAACTGGGCTGGAGTGCGTTGGCCACGCTGGTGTGGGGAGTGTCCTGTCAGCCTCTGGTTAGTGTTCTGTTCTAATCTGCTGGGCTCCCTTTGTGAACCTGTGGACGGTGCCATGTGAGAAACAAACGCTTCGGTTAAAAAAAAAAAAATAATGATGTTTTACTTAATATGTTATTTTAATTTACCTTTATATTTCTGTTTGTTTGTCTGTTTTGTTATCCAAGGGTTTAAAGTTCAAAGCTCATACTCTTATGTGGGGACCTGCCAACCTGCACTCCTTTTAAATGTGATGAAGTCTTTCTGTTGGTCCGAACCATGTGTGCCAAATTGTATGTATATTCTTCTGTCAATGCTTTGAATATTAACTGCATAAAAAATATGAAGACAATTCTGTTTTTGGATGCATTTCCGTCAACCTTGAAGAAAAGTGAAAATACAAGAGTCGTCACAGTGTGTCAGATTTCTATCCCAAATGCTCATGGGTGCTGACAGATTTTTTTGCTGCCGTTTACAAAAGGTTAAACACAATTTGTCGTTTTTGATTGGTTGCAGTCGTGCTATAGCATAGGCCTGCACTGTGCCTCTCTCCCTGCACAGTTTACCTCAATCCGAGGCCCCTCCCTCCGTATTTATATCCTTTTCACTGTGTTTTACCAGCTCTCGCGCCATGTCGACCACAACAGGTTGAAGTGTTTACAACCATAATATTAGTATCACAGTGAAAAGGGACTGGATATGGTGCATTTAAGGTTCAAAACTACACCAAAACACAGAGATTCACTGAAATCTGCAAATTTCCTCCAAATCCAAAGCTCCATGGTATTCCTCTCTATGGATTTCTATTCCTTTCCGTTTGTTTCCAAATGGCTTGTGTAGCAAGTGAGGAAGCAGATGTTTTCACACAGCTGTACAGGGACGCCAATACTGCAACACAGCTGCACAAAACCCCAGCTTATTGGCTGATAATAGCTCAGCTTTTGCCTGCCCCAGACACAACATTTCCGCTTTACAGCTGATCCCAGTTCGCTCAAGGAATATTAGAGACGTTCCTCTTTTCCTGTGGCCGGTGCAACATGCGCAGGCCAAAAATTCCTCACCAGATCGCCCCCTTCTTTCTCCATACATAATCATAACAAGTATAACATCAGTTTGACATCTGGAATTTGAAATTGCATGCATTCATCGGCATGTGGAAAACCTATTGTAATCTCTGTCTTTCTTTCAACATTTTCCCCTTGGTTCTTTCGAGCTAAGCTGCCTTTGAGATGGACTCTATCAGCTGGGCGGGTGGCGGCTGCCTGAGAGCACTTCCGCCATGGTGAAGCTGCAGTGTAATGTCATCTTGAAATGGTTTCACCGTCATTCCAGACACTTATGCAAAAGTACTTGGCAACTCAGAGATGCACAGGAGAAAAAAAACTGTTTCAAAGATAAAATAAACAAAGTGATACTTTTCTGAACATTTGCCGTTTTAGTTATGAATTAACACTCGTAGTTTTAGGTTTGAAAAACACGCTAAGACAATGAGCGTAGTATTTCCAATAGCTTCTCTTCCGTCTGTCTTGGCTTGTATAGCTGAAGTCCGTTACAGGCGCCCACCGTTCAGCTTTGAGGTGAATTTCTTTCGGTTTTGATATGGTTTCTCAGGTCATTCCAAACAGCAGGTTTCTTCACGTAAGAAGCTACTTAATTTTGCATTCACTAACACACAAACAACGTCATCCAGTTTCTCTGAGTTCACTGCACAAACTGTCACACCATCCATGTTCTATGTGAGCTTTAGTACTCCCAGTCAAATGGTGAGGCTCTGACAGTGGGTTATTTCCAACTTCAGAGCCGCTGTGTTCACTCATCCACAAACTCAGAACCCAAACAACCACATCTGCCTGCAGCTATTGTTTCCTTAGCAGCCATTTTTACATCACAGCAACATTGCAGAGAAGCAACGGAAGTACAACCTGGCAGGGCTTGTCATGTACAGTACTAGGATGCATGTTTAGTCGACCAGAAGATAAGGCATGTGTCCCTGTGCCACCTGACTTCCTGTCCTCACCCTTCCGAATGGGCACTTTCATGGCCAGCTGGTTCATTCATGATCCACCTCAACATATCTCTGGGAACGTTTCAGGATCTCACTTCACATCTGTCCCACTACACACACCTGTTAGCATTCAGTCACCACTGCTAATTCTCTGCAAGGCATACCCAACAGGTTGATTTCCAAGTTAGTTCTCCTCTCTCTGTCCTTCCTCGTGTTGGTGGGGTTTTTTTCCTGGTTGCAAACACTCTTCTCGTCTCCACTTTGTTTTTTAAACCCTTTGAATTGATGCTGCTTCTGTGCTTGACTCTGGGTTTACTGCGTGGTGCCATGTTGTCCACATGGCCTCTAGAGCTTGTAACGCTTCAGTGTGTAATGTTACCATATGCCTTACATGTTTTCCAGGACTAATAAAAAAAGCATAACAAAACGTCAGGAGATGTGCTCTTTTATTTCAGTGCCCATTCTGGAAAATATAATTTTACTCCCCAATATTCTACAAATATCTTCATTGCTATTCCTTCCTAAATTACAGGATCGATAAAACTCCACAGCACGGTAAAAAATATATATATACAGTACCATGCATTTTTTTCCAAAATAATGCTGAAACAGTAAGAACATGTTCGGGAATGCTATGTGAAATGATTAAGAAAACAGCGGTTGGTCACATTGAAAAATGTCAACTTCAATCTTGAAGAAAGCAATGGTGAGGCAGGTTATGACATTGAAAAATCCAAAATAACTGCAATGAGAGCTGAAAAACAACATAATAAAAGCAGATACTCATCGCTATAAAAATACAGAGCAAATGGCTCCAATCACATTTTTTTTTAATTATAAAACTGCTTAAGAAGACCTCCTTAGATTGCTTTTATGTTTAAGACTCGGCTGGTGGCTCTCCAATCCCCTTGGAGGTCAAGACTTCAGATAAGCGAGCCAAGTAAGTGGAATCTGGGTAACCGCTCCTGAGAGAGACAAAAAGAAGACTGTTAAGCTCAGATACATGGACTAATGTGACCTTTAACTCTACAGCTCTGTTAGACATTCACACTGGCCTCACTCACCCTGATTTGCCTCCATATAGGGTGGTCTTGTGTGGGATACAGTCCCAGGAGACCCTGGCCCCTGTGTCTTTGCCCGTCACTGTGAAGGTGAGTCCCTGTCTGAATGCGTCTTTCAGCCTTGGCATCAGCTTTCTGACCTTCTCGCTGTCGGGAAAATAGGCTTCAAACACCCCTCCTTGAAATGGTTCTCCTGGAGAAGGGTGATCCTCCTGGTAAGACAGAGAGCGAAGACCACTGTCGTAAACACAATCTTTAGATATCATCTTGCATGAGCTAAAAGCAAAGTCTTGATATTAAAGCTATATGTGATACCTTAGTACACACCATTCATACACAATGTCAGTGTATTTTCCAGTACTCAATAAATCATAATAGTTAAGCTAAATGTTTGTTGACATCGTATACAAATAAACTACAACACAAAATAGTGTATCTGCAACATACACCTAACTTCTCTATATTATAGGCCTTAAACACAATAATACTATTTCCTGTTAAAACGTTTAAAAAACATATTGAACAATAATATAATGTGTTGTCCCTTCCTAAATGAAGATTATTATGCCTTCCAGTACATATCATATACAACAGTTATCAGTGAGAATGTGTGTAAAATAAGCCCCTCACCCCTTGGATACCATCCGGAATGCAGTAAGTGATCTTGATCACAGAGTTTTTTGTGTGACCTGGTAGAGTGATGTTTAGTTTAGAGTTGGTCATTTTGCCGTTGATGCCCCGTGTCGTCGCCTCTGTCTCATGACAAACTCTGCATTGGACGTGTATTGTGTCCAGGCACTTTGAGCACATGCTAGCTCCACACTTTGTTTTCATCGTCAGCATCTCACTCTCACCACAGACACAGATGCACCCCGTGCCACCCGGACCTGATCTGGATACCTCTGGTGTGTCCTGGATCTCCGTTTGTCTTTGCTGCGTACTGTCCTTGTGGGTAGACTGTATAGTTCTCTCTTTCTCATGAAGGGCCATGTCTTTATCAGTCGGGGTTGTTGTTGAGATGACATCATTCACATGTCTCGCACTATCAATTCCTGGTGTAGTGTGGCTGACAAATGGCTCACTCTTCTGCCCATCCATCTCCAGTGTTTCTACAATTTTCACTTTCTCTTTAATGACAGGGTCTTTCCTCACCAACAGTTGAGTAATAGATCCATTCACAAGCTCTGTCTCACGGAAGTCACTTCTCTGGTTTGTTTTCCTTTCCCGACTACTATCAGTCCCATCGGCTTTGCTTGTTTGTCTCTCTAGCGTCACCTGAGGATTACTGTAACAGTGCAGACTAGTACTTTGGTCCTTGTTCATTTGCAAAAATGTGGATGGACTCGATTTGGAGGCAGAAGGGCCAGAGAGGTCCTGTCGTTCAGGTATTTGGGCCAGATCCCGAGAAAATACCTCCCGCAGGGAAGCACCCACCTGAGAACACAACGCTTGCGGGCCGAGAACCAATAAGGTCTTCTTTGAAATCCTTATGGTAACTTTCTTGAACCGGCTACGCACCTCAGCACAACAAGCCTGTAAGGTTTCATCTGCTTCGTTAGTGATACCCAGCTCTGACAGGCGCAGCTGGTCCACAGAGAAGTCTACACAAACCGAATCAACCAGCTGCTGTAAACCTAGCTGACATAAACTCACTTTGGCTGAGTTTGCCCCTCTTAAGGTGACAGTCAGATCATAACTACCCTCTAAGCAGCTCTCTTTCATCTGGACATCAGAAGTCAGGTCATCCACTCGGGAGCTGTAGGCTTCTTTTATGTGCTTCCACATCTCACGGGAAACTGTAATCTCTGCATTGTAGACTTCCCGCTTATCCCTCTCTGTTTGGTTACTGAAGCTAGAGGACCTGCCCCTGGCTCTGACTGTGGACTTGGCGGAGTCGTCTTGACTCTTCGGACTCAAAACTTGGGCCTTCTGCAGAGGTGTTCCTGAGAAACTATTGACTCGCTTCAAGGTGGATCCAGATCCAGCAGGTGGAAGCAAAGTACTTCCCGACAAACTGGACTGAGTTTTGGTAATAGGAGATGTTAAGCTCTTGGGTCGAGTATCAATTAAATGAGCCTTCGAGGAGGTTTTATTCTGCATCGAAGCATTTGAAGGCAAAGCAGATCCACTCTTGAACAAGATGTCCCCTCCAGTGTTTTGGGCTAACGCTCTGGAGACACTTTCATCAGAAATCCCTGCTGTTTTTGACAGTACATCATGACCTAATATTGGCCCGAGGCGTGTTTGTCGAATGGGAGACGAGAGCCCTCGTAAGGTGAGGTCAGTTGGTCGACTGCCAAATGCAGCAAGACCTGAATCCTTAAACCGAGCAGCTAGTTTATACTTTTTGGCTCCTTCAGCTCTCCTCTCATCCTCCTCTGACCTCAGCTGCTGATCTATCCTGTCACCCTGAGAATCTGCGGTGGAGGACAAGGTGAGGGGGACTCTCCACTCATGAGCATGTGTTGATGAGCCAGAATCATCTAGATGATATCTAAGAAGACTGGCTACATCCTCTTTTTTACCCCTCACTTTGCTCGGGTCCAGGAGAAGTAACAGCTTAGCCTCAGACACATCACTATTGCTCCCAATAATGTAAATATTTAGCTCATCTTCATTCAGAAGAAGCTTAGGAAATCTGACACTTAAGGTGTCCATCACCCTTTGCTGCCCCCCCCTGAGGGACAGGATGCTCTTAGGGAGCTGGTCTCGACGGATCTTGGTCTCGTTCTCCTCGTAAAGCCTACTTATTGCCTTTCTTGCCAACTTCAGGCTCTCCTGATCCCGGCCATCCTCCCCCACTCCTGTTGCTACCTGCAAAAACAGAGTAGTCAACCCCTGATTTGTCATATCCACTACATCAACACCATACTGACTAAGGATATGCTGGTATTCCTTCCTGCAGTGTTTCTGCAGATACTGGAACATGTCTGCATCCACAATTAGTGAGAAGTCCTCCTCTGATGTAGTAGGATGCCCAGGAAGCTGCAGAGCTGCACCCTCCGTCAGGCCAGTATCTCCCAAAACATAACCACCAGGTGTCAGGTCTCCATGTGAGCTGGAGTTGTACTCATCAGAGGGCCTACCAATGTGAACTTTCTCATGTTGTTCTCTTTGCTTATTCGGTTTCCTGCTCTGACCCTCTGACTCCTGAATATGAGGCTTCAGCACTGTCTGAATGGACTTGGAGCCACTGGTGGCAGGTTGACCTGAGTGATTGTTTTCGGCCGATTGTGGTCTTTCAGGGTGACCAAATAGTTGCGCCAAAGCAGCCTGGACTTTGGAATAGGCACCATCCAATGTGCACAATTCCTCAGTAGCATCGTGGTTCATCTGGATATCAGGGTGGCTCTTATGAAGGTTTGTCAGTGCCATTATTCCCCCAGGAAGCTGGCTGAGGTCGACAGTTGCTGATAATCTTAAGATGACCTACGATGATGGAAGAAGAGAGACAACAAGCACTCATGGATTTAACTGTCTATTCAGTATTTGTTGACATATTTTCAAATATTCTGCTGAAGTGTACCTTGTCTGGGTCCAGGCTTTCTCGGTGCTCAGTTACAATGACTTTATACTTCTTTTCATCCACTTCCAGAGTGTGCCCTCTGTGTTGAATAAGTCTCTGTGCCACTGTGTGAGAGGGGTCACCAGACAGAAATCAATCTCAGTCTGTAAAGAATCCTGACTAAGCCCTTTACCATTGGCTACTCCATTGAATTGCATGTCAAAATTCCAGCTTAGTGTAAATCACTGGTCACAGCCGACATAGTGAGACATGTTACTAATTACTGCAACTACATTTTGGAGTCTTTAAAGTGAAAGTTAATGAAGCATTTGCTGTTGTATTGTGAGACAAGGGTGTACTGTAAATAATATGATATAGTTAATAGTATTTCCACACCACCATGTGTCTGTAATGGAATCAAGTAGCCAGAAAATTCCACCTCCCCTACACTTCATATGCACAGACATGCACACGCGCTGACCCTACTGACCTCCACTGTCATCGAAGGTGATGAGGGCAGAGACAGGCGTTGCCTTGACAATGGTAACAGAGGTTATTTCCCCTCCTCCATTCCTGGCTCTCAGGAAGTGGATAAATAGCTTGTCTTTCAGCCTGTTATCCTCAATGTCAGCGGGCAGACCGCTCACCCTCACGGTCCTGCCCGGCTCCGCCATCTGCTGGGAGAAAACAAATCACTGCTGTGAAGAACAAGCATTTTAAGAGTGACTGCAAGACAGCAACACAAAAGTACCAGGATTCTGCAGAAGTGGTGAGCGTGAACACCAACAGGATGATGACAAAAAAGCCGAAACACAACACCTCTTTACGAAGCTGTTGATGTGAAAGTATTGGCCAACCATTCACAGACCCCACCCTTGCAAATAGGAAGGGAGACATAGTTGATAATATAACACTCTCTATTGGGGTAACTAGGGCACTACATCAACAAAACTCAGAAATGTCTATTTCAGGGGAAATCGGAAGTGAGACTTTTGTTGAAATAGTGAGCAATTAACTGTCAATCTTAAATGTATTAAGACGTCTCACATCCCTCTACAGCTGGTTCTCTAATACACGAAGATGATGACATCAGGTTTTGGCAACTGATGTTTGATCAAGTTAATGCCATAACTATTAGATATTTGATCTGTATTGTTAAAAATAAAACGTGTTGTCGTCTCTCAGTTCAAATGCAATGTGAATATAAATCAGAAAATAGTAAAGATATATTTCAGATTGTGACAGATGGTGAAGTTAACGCCCCTTTCCCATTCCCACCTACAGTTTGCTGCTGCCTTGTTGGCAACTGCTAGACACAGAATAAACTGCTTAAAAAACAGCATAGGCTATCTTTATTAACTATGTTGCTTTTCACACACACACACACACACCACCCCCCACACACACCCACACGCACTCACAATAGACATGTGTAATTGCAAAGTAACTAAAATATTATGTTGAATTATAAACTATTTTGGTCTGATTTGCAGCCACCCTGCAACAAATGGGCAAAATATTGAGTATTTGTTTGCTACAGGATCTCAAAACAATATATGTAGAAGCGAGCAGGAAAGCCTCATTCGCAGAGCTGAGTGTCAAGGAAGTGGAGAGAAATCAGAAATCAGCCTATCGCAGTATCGACGGATCTCCTGTTGTCCGACGCTGTTACTGTCTGACACAACACATCTTGGATATCTTTAAGATTTGTAACGTTTACTGACCTTACGACTGTTTCACGGCGGTTTCCCGCTATCGTTCAAAGACTGCCACACTTTGCAAGCCACGGAGGAAAGTGAAACTACAAACTGATGTGTGATCTGTCGTGTCCACGCGAGGGGGCGACCAAGTGCCGTCTCATTGCACATAACAAGTAGGCCCATATTTCACGGTAAAGAGTGTGCGTGTGCGTGCGTGTGCTTATATGAGTGCAGGTGCCACGGCTTGAATGGATCAGTCCTTCCTACGATTTACAATTTCACCAAAAATAATTTTAAAAAAAAGATCCAAAATGGATACCAAATTGTGTAGCTTTGCATTTTTGTATTTGTTTACCCTACTGATCATTTTATGACCCCTCAGATCTATGTTGTTCCGCTTTGAGGAGAACATGATGCCTAATTTGTGAATCACTGGAATAAATTACCTAGCTATTTATTTGGAAGTTAAAACTAGCTCGACCTCAATCAGCTACAAACATATTATGCTTGTTGCATCAGTATTAACAGTCTGGTGATGTATCAGTCATACTTTTACTTTTGATATATCAAGTACTTTTGTACTTTTACTTCAGTGGGGATTTTGAATGCAGGGCATTATTTATTACATTTGTGTATTGGTATTTTATTAAAAATCTACTAACAATACCTAAACAACCCATTGAGAATAGTTGATTTGAGCCATCTTGACCTTATAAATACAGCATATCTGTAATATGGCTGAGGTCAGTCTGACAGACAGAACAATTTAACTACACAAGATTAATCAATTCTCTAGTTTACTTCATATGAAGACAAATATAATCACAGTATCTATCTGGTACTGCAGTTGTTGTAGTTATAGGCTATATGCCTTTGTGTTGTATTTTTTTTTGGCAAGCTGCCTTCCGTCTTATTTGTATTTACTTCACACACAAACTGCAAAGACCACGATATTTTAAAGGTCAATCAATCAATCGTTCATCTGAGGTCCAACCAGACTCCAAATAACAGTAGGTGGCAGTAATTCATCATTACATTGAAAGCCAACCATTTACACAAAGCCGTAGAAGAAGAAGAAGTCTGTCTTTTGTCCAATCTGAGGCTACGTTACTACATGTGCGCATGCGCTGTGGGCCAAATATTTCATGTGTTATACGTCGTGTCCGGTGGAGGTCACAGACATCTGAACAAAACCGAGGTGAGTGAAGTCGGTGTGTTCGTGATTGTCACACTGAAAATGTTGAATTGTATAGGAAAATGTGTGTATAACGATAATTACAAAGCGAAATGGAGACGTTTTATTCTATAATCTACATATGACGTTGTTTCACAGTGTTGAGTAAGGCGTGCATGTGAGCAACCGCTTTACATCAGTGACAGATAACATGCGTTGGTTTGCTGACACGCGCTTTATTTTAATTTGAGTGTGTTTAAAATGATATACAAGTCATATGTTGCATGTCTTGAACTCTTCAGATATAGTGCTCGCTTCATTGGGCTTAGCTTAGCATCTGTCTCGGTCTGAGCTACATCCATGGTCTCAGTAGTCAGCTAGGCGACAAGTTGATGCTAGCTAGTGAGCTAAATTAGCTAACAGCCACAGCCTTGGCATCTCTCAGCCCAAGGACAAGGGTAACTATTACTGGATGGAAGGGGTTTATAGTGGCTTTATAAACACCGTCACAAACGGTCATGTTGGTGAAGTGTACTAATTGTATTAACCTCTCGTCTTATATCCACTACCAGTGGGATTGCTACCATGGCCAAGCTGTTCGAGTCTATTGGGAAATTGGGGCTGGCCCTCGCCATTGGTGGAGGTGTTGTAAACTCTGCTCTTTTCAATGGTAAGTGCTTATCAATTGGACACCTAACTACACAGAACAGGTTGTTCTCAAGCTGTGCCAGTTCACCTAGTTTTTAACTCACTGGCGACACTCTAATAAGACCATTAACTCACTCACTGATTGGTTATTATTTCATTACAGTCGTTTTAAGATGTAAAACTAGTGTGTCATCCCATTTAACTGCAGCATAACATTTCATATGTTGGTCGAGAGCACTGCAATTTAATACATCAAAGCACGTTTATTTGTCACATACACAATTTTACACAGTACATGTGTATTTTCAGAGTCAAAAACCTAACAATCTCCCACATAGTGGCCTGTGGCCCTCCCCTCTATCACACACTTTTACATGCATACACGGTGCTTATCTCACATACACTTTTACTACTTTGCTACTCTGACAACAAATACTCAGCATTTGGAAGAAGAAAAAAATGCTGCAAATAAATAAAACACAAATGAAGAAATTGACAATACATAATATGTAGAATACAAATGTTGAAATACCCCAAGTCTAATTCAAAGCAGCTAAAGAAATATTTCAACCATTCACCAGTCATGTTTGCAATGGAGCCAACTATGCTTATTTTGTTTTTTATAATTCAGATTTTGTGATTCTAATATTATTTCATCACATATTCATCTAGCATGTTTTTCTTGAAAACCTCTACTGTGTTTCACAGCAGTTCTACATTGTGTGTTTCTTACTGCTGAATTTAAGTTGTCAAAAGAATGATGATTGTATTTCCGGTAATATGTATTTGATGAACCCGTTAACAGTCCTTTAGCAACGTGTAGCTCTTCAGTGATGTAATTCGTATTATTTAAGCCAATCAGGGCTTTATGTCAAAGGTTAGGAACACACTGAGCAATGAACTATAAACCAGTTCACACGAACCTCTTGGCAGAGACTAACTGTACTTCTTTCTACAGTTGATGCAGGGCACCAGGCTGTGATATTTGACCGGTTCAGAGGAGTGCAAGATATTGTTGTTGGTGAAGGTACCCACTTCCTCATTCCCTGGGTTCAGAAACCTATCATCTTTGATTGTCGCTCCCGTCCACGCAACGTGCCCGTCATCACAGGCAGCAAAGGTACATCGATCATCTACTGAACTGCTGTGACGTCGTCCTCACTTTTGCTCATAAAATTCAGTGTCTCTTTAAACTCAGTCTACAAATTGTGTAAACATTACCTAAGAATGTAACTTGTATTGTACATAGGAGGTTTTAATCTAAGAAATGATGTTTCACAGGCTAATATGTGCAGTAAGTTCAATTAAACAATTCTCCCCCCCCCCCCCCCCACAGATCTGCAGAATGTAAACATCACATTGCGTATCCTCTTCCGGCCGATGACCAACCAGCTACCACGCATCTTCACCAGTATTGGTGAGGACTATGACGAGAGGGTGCTACCATCCATCACCACAGAGGTCTTAAAATCTGTAGTGGTGAGTATCAGTCTAGAGTTATTACCAACAAAAAGGTGACTTGTTTTTTTTTCTCGTTATGATGTTAAACCGACGTCTCTGTGTGACTTTTTGTTTTGTTTCACAGGCTCGGTTTGATGCCGGTGAGCTCATCACCCAGAGAGAGCTTGTTTCTCAGCAGGTCTGTGATGACCTCACAGAAAGAGCCAACACCTTCGGCCTCATCTTGGACGACGTTTCACTGGTATGAAGCGGCTGGCAAAGTTGTTCATGTTCTCTCTTCAAATTGACTTTAACTTGGGGAAATAATTGTATTGTGTTCTTTCAGACACACTTGACCTTTGGCAAGGAATTCACAGAGGCTGTTGAGATGAAGCAGGTGGCCCAGCAGGAGGCGGAGAGGGCCCGCTTCGTTGTCGAAAAGGTACATTTTTAACTTGCAGATCGTCCCTATAATACTTGTACATTCAGAAATTTGTATGCAGTCTCTATGGGGAAAATGTGGATGGTTGAATTACAGTTATTGTGAATTAAGGCCAGCTCACACAATCTCTTTTTCCTTTTAGGCAGAGCAACAGAAGCAGGCGGCCATCATCTCCGCAGAGGGAGATTCCCAGGCTGCCTTGCTCATCGCCAATTCTCTGATGGAGGCTGGTGATGGTCTGGTGGAGCTACGTAAGCTGGAGGCAGCGGAGGACATCGCCTTCCAGCTCTCCCGCTCCCGCAACATCACTTACCTGCCATCAGGACAGGGCACATTGCTCCAGTTGCCCCAGTGATGACATCTCTCCTCATGTCCAGCCCACTCGCTCTGTCACCAGTCGTTACAACGGGCCATGGGAGGGGTGGTTGGAGCATTCAATAAAGGACTCTCAACTTCACACACATTCCTCTCACTCTTTCTCTAACCAACTCTCTGGACTGGGCTCTGCTGATAGCAGAATGGTGGGAGACAAAGTGAGAGGTCTGCGATGGATACATTTAAAAAGTCCACCCAGGCGTGAGGAAGGGGGGGGGGGGGTCATCTATAGTACTTGTTTTGAAAAAGATGACAATGCCGTTAATTAAAGATTTGTCTTTGCTATATTGTTTCAGAGCATTGCATGTGTGGAAAGCAACAGATTGTTTTTAACATCAAGGAAAAACAGTTTGATTGCTTTAAATGATGAGATGATAAATCGTGAATAATAAATGCAATTACTCTGTTATATGTGCAGGAACGATTCATTAACGTAACTTCTTTTTGTTCTGATTTGCCAGAGGTATACATAGCTATATGCATATAGTCGTCGCTTTGTCTTTAGTTTGTGTGGAGAAAGTGCGCACCATATTTCAAAAATGCCTCGGCTTAATACAATTTTCTTTCTGCTTCCCACTGGTCATACTTATTGTTCAAGGCCACAGAGGTGATTGTACATCATTCTGTGTTGAGTGTAATCATAATTGCCACAGGAGATAATTGCATCCCCATTAAAAAAAATACTGTAGCGGATACGCAGTCAGTTGCCATGTTTATTGTTGCCTCCATAACAATTGCTCTGGTGATGCCTCAAAATGGATACAATAGTTTATCTGACTTGGGTAGCTTTGACAGCGTAGTGAAAGTTTTTAAACAACGGCTGTTTGGGAAGAAATTAAAACCTGGATGCAACTAATGATGGGATTCTTTTAAATATTAACAGATTAAATTAATTTATTTGGAAAAAAAGGAATGGTTTAGAGCAAGATTTTAGATATGTTTTATACCGATCATTTAGTTTTCAAACCATTACCCTATGCATTGTCGCGGATGTTATTAATGTTTTAGGAAACTATCGTTCCTGTGAGTGTCCATAGAAACATTTTAACAAACATTTACCAGAAAGCCCTGTGTGTCCAGACCAACAAACAAAACGTCAAAGTCATAAAATGGACGAGGTATGTTAATAAAGAGCAAGAGTTGGTGCTAAAAATAGAATCAATTAATTACACTTCTAGGATTTCTCCTTTGAGAGGACAAAACGGTCCTCAGGGTCCTCATTATTATTTCATCAATCAAAATTTGAACTCAGCGCGTGTGCGCGCGCGCCGTACCCTGTCTGGTCTGGAGGGGAGACGAGAAGAATCCAGACCCAGACACTGTGGCGCGCGCCTGCACAGACAGCGGCCTGAATACCTCGGATGAGCGCGGGACGGTGGCGGTGGTACGCGCGAGAGAGCTTGGCCGGGCCACGTAGCGGGGTCTGAAGACACCGGTGCGCAGGTATCTCCGCAGCCCACACGGGACATCAACAAATACTCTGCCACACATTTTGCACGAAAAGATCATTGGCGTTGCTCTTTCTAAATGCACATCCGCGAATTTAGAGGGAGAGCGAGCGAGGAAAGTGCGCGTGCAACCCTGAATCTGTGCAACTCTGATTGCACGAACCCAAGAGGGAGGTCGCTCTCGACGGAGGTAAGCCAGAAAAACCGACAACAAAAATGTTGCTATATCATGTTAATCGTATTCACTTAAATGTATGTCAAGTATGGCTGCTTGGTCCGTGAGCTCAGCTAGCACCGACTTTGTGACAGTGTCGAGTTGAGTGGGTTTGATCGGTACAGCAGGCTGGGTTTGTTAGGAAAGCGGCGCTTCTCATCTTGCACGTCAAGAAAGAAAGACACATTGATAACAAAGCGTGACATCGGCTTTTCATCTTTGCTTCGTGATGGTCCGATAACTGTCACAGCTCACCCCTTAAAGAGCAGTATCGAAATAGATTTGAACGTTAATGCTAAACATCTGATGTTAGCTTTAAGCTAACTAGCCCTAATCTGGGCGGTTTTGGGTTAAATAAAAAAGTGAGTCTGTCTGTTGTGGGCTAATGCATGCCACCAAATATTAGCCTTTAATGTGGTGTAGCTCGTGCAGGGCACTATGGTTGTTTTTGAGGTTGAGTAACATTTGACTGCACTAACA